GGGGGGGGGGGGCAGTCTCTGAGGTGGGTGTGGAATGTGCCTCTACAGCAAATGCGGGATTTCACTGGCACTGAGGTTACACGGTGGGGGGCAGTATCGGGCACAGACAAAGCCATGATACCATGGTCCGCCCCAGGAGGTGGACGTAGGTTTGGCAGCTGATGTGGGAACGCTGCAGCGACTGCCCAAAGTCATCGGAAACCAGAGGTGAGCGGAGCAGCCGAGGGAGGGGACCCCGGGCATCTCCCGGGCCAGGATGAGGGCCGTCCCCTGATAGGCTTTCCCCGCTTTCTTGCAGCCTGGTCAACGAGCTGGCCTTCACTTCCCGCAAGATGATGGCTGATGAGGCCCTGGGCAGTGGTCTGGTCAGGTAGGGGCCGAGGCCTGGGCTGGTTGAAGGCTCGGGCGCAACCTGGGCAGGGCTCTTTGGGTCCCCGTGTATCTTCACAGATTCCACTCTCTGGGTGGTCAATTCTTTATTCTGGGGTCCAGTGCCCTGCTCTGATTGGTCTCTCTCACTGGGCGGTTTTCCGCTTTCCACTGTGGTTGGCCGATTCTTCATCCGTGGGAACCTTCCCAGAACCCCGACACCCCATTACGGATTCCCTTCGTCCGCAGCCGGGTGTTCCCAAACAAGGAGGACATGCTTGAGGCAGCCTTCACCCTGGCGGAAGAGATTTCCACCAAGAGCCCTGTGGCAGTGCAGAGCACCAAAGTCAACCTGATCTACTCCCGCAACCATTCCGTGGCGGAGAGTCTCAACTACGTGGTAAGGCTCTCCGTCCAGCCAATCACAGCCCCTCTCCAGTCCCAGAGCGACCAATCAGGGCCCCTGCAAGCAGACCTCTGCAGGCCTTGCCCTCCGATTGGCGTGCTGTCTCTTCTCTGTTTTTCATTGGCCCAACTCCATTCCCTGCCCTTGCCATTATGCTCCACCCTCTTCATCCAGGCCACCTGGAACATGAGCATGCTGCAAACCCAGGACATCGTTAAGTCTGTCCAGGCTGCATTGGAGAAGAAGGACCTGAAGAGCGTGAACTTCTCCAAGCTCTGAGAGCCCCCAAGGGCCAGGCCTTGCCCTTTGTCCCACCTCATGCCGTTTCCTCATCCACAGAGAAGGATTAGTGAGGATCGTCGCCTCCGTGCCTTCATGCCTGATTTCCAATTTATAGCTGGGACACTGATTTCCTCATGCCCAGGGCCTTATCTTCACCCAAACAATAAAGGTACTTAAGGAACCCGGTGTCTTTATTGCAAAGAGAGGAGAGACAGCAAGGAGCCAAGATGCGCCTATGCCCACGGCCCTCAGCGGTGCTGAATGTTGGGGACAGAGATTTGGCCAATGGGAATGGGAGCCACGCAGGCGATGCCCATTCAGAGCTGGCAGTGGGCAGCCCAGGGCCAATAGAAAGTCTGGCAGGGGCGGGGCAAGCAAAAGTCAGTGCCTTCTGCAGGCCTAAGGGCTGTGGCTGGTCCCCCTGCCTACTCCAGGCTCCAGAGCTCCGTTCACCCTGCCTGGCACCCACTCACTGCATAGCCTAATGGGATGCGACGCTGGAGTCTGGCTAGAGTTCTGCTGACACCCAGTCTCGGGCCAACTGCCTCATTTCTTTAAGCTTCAGGTTTTCATGTCCGTAGATAAGCCCAACCTCCTGGGTTTATGTTTAGAACGAGTACAAGAGGCCAAGGATTAATTTAATGCCTTCTATATGCCGAGTCCTGTTCTGAGCATTTATTCCCTGAGTGACTCCTTTCAAGGCTTCTGTGAGGTCAATACTACTAATAGCCCCATTTTACAGTTGGGCAAATCGGGAAATTGAGGTTCAGGCCAAACTAATGCAAGACCAAACAGCCAGGAAGTGGCCAAGGCAAGATCTGAACCCAGCACCCCTGGCTCCAGAAGCCGTGATCTATGCAGTCCAGGGCCCCCCGGGTGGCTCATTCGGTTGGGCAGCCGACTTCAGCTCTCGTGGTTTGTGAGTTCGAGCCCCGCGTCCGGCTCTGTGCTGACAGCCCGGAGCCTGCTTGGGATCTGTGTCTCCCTTTCTCTGTGCCCCTCCCCCTGCTCGTGCTCTGTCAAAAATGAGTAAATGCTAAGAAAATTTTTAATTAATTATTTAATTAATTAAAAACTATAGAGTGCAGTGTGCACGGGTCCGGCATGCAGTGGGCATGCAAATGCCTTCCGCAGTTCCTAAGAGTGTCCAGGGCATCCAGCTCCTCCCTTTCACCCACTCCCATTGCCCATCTGTCACAGGTCACGCCTGCAGCCTTGCCCTGCCCAACCCTCCTGGACTCACCCTCCCTCTGCTAACAAAGGTCTGGGCAGGCTTTTATGGGCTCTGATAAGGCCCTGGCGGGGCTGAAGTTCACTACACTTCCTCTTTGCGGAAGGGCCTGAAGGAGGGGGCTCTGACCTGAGTCCTCCTGACCTGACCCAGATAGATGAACTGGGTTCTGACTGGTTACCAGTGAGGCTAGTAAGAAAGGGGACACAAGGGGGTGCCCTAGAAAAAGATGGGAGCCGGGAATGCCCGGAAGAGGGGCCCTGTGGACCCTGCCCCGCCAGCCACTCCCTTATCCTCCGGTATAAGAGCCACCCCCCTCCTGCCATCTGCCACCATTCCCGCTCCTGCACCTCTTCTCACCGGACGACGAGCCACCAGCCCAGACTCTCAAGATGGCCTATGTCCCTGTACCCGGCTACCAGCCCACCTACAACCCGGTGAGATAGCGGCCCGGGCCCCAACCGCGGGCCCCGGCTTAGTTTCACCCTGAACCCCACACACCAATTTCCTCTCATCCTGATTCCTCAGAGGTGCCCTCGCCCCCAACCTTGACTCTGATTTACCCGATACTGACCCTGGGGCTTGATTTACTCCCATCCTGACGCCCTGGCTCTTCACAGCCACACCTGACGCTCCGCTCTCTTCACCTTCCCGCGGACCCTTCACCCCTAGTGTCCCAATGAGAGTGCGGGGGGGCTTCTCGATGAGGGGTAAAGTCTCACCAGGCCCCTTCCACAGACTCTGCCCTACAACAAGCCCATCCCGGGTGGTCTCTGCATCGGAATGTCTGTTTACATCCAAGGAGTGGCTAGCGAGCACATGAAGAGGTAAGGCACTCCCCTCCGCCAGGCTAGGCTAGGAGGGGCTACAAACAGGGGCTTCCGCCCTAATGCAGAAGCCCTTCTTCCCTCCTGCTTGGGAAGGGGACCTCTGTGCCCCTGCACCCGATGGCCAAAGATCAGCTCTAGCCCCTGGGTCGTCCAGGACTCGGTGACCAGGAGCAGGGAGCCTGGGGGCTGGGAGGCGTCAGGGAGGCTCACGGAGAGAGGCAGCCCGGGCCCGGGGAGCTGGGATGTTGGACTGGAATTGATGGGTGTGATAGCATGAATTCAGATCACAGGCTCTGGGCTCGGCCTGGCCAGCTCTGTCACTGGCCAACTGTGTGACCCGGGAAAGGCACCACGCCTCTCTGTGCTTTAGGTTCCCGGCTGTAGAATGGGATTGTCCTGAGGGTTCAATGCGTAAAACTGGAAAGTAAGCACTAACATAAGTCTTAACAGGGGCGCCTGGGTGGCTCAGTCGGTTAAGCGTCTGACTTCGGCTCAGGTCATGATCTCACGGTCTGTGGGTTCGAGCCCCGTGTCGGGCTCTGTGCTGACAGCTCAGAGCCTGGAGCCCGTTTCAGATTCTGTGTCTCCTCTCTCTCTCTCTGCCCCTCCCCTGTTCATGCTCTGTCTCTGTCTCAAAAATAAAAAAATAAACAGTAAAAAAAATTTAAAAAAATAAAAT